AAATCAGAAAACTAAAGTGATATTATTCCAAAAAAGGGGGGCAAGAAAATTAATCCTAGTCTGTTTTCCAAATGTATGCTTCATACTTCATATAATGAGAACTCAAATTATCTCACGCATTAATTTGACACTAGCAGCTCAACAATTCTGTCCAGAATGAATTTCCCAGCCACTTCTGATAAATCTACAAAAGAGGGTCTCCTGTTGGGCATGGGGATGTAATAGAATCCTATAATCTTTCCTGTGGAGGTAATATGAGTTAATTCTCACCAAACCTGAAAGCTACTCCTGCTCTCTGATTCCACTTATAAGCATGGACAGAGAAATCAGAGAGAAAAGCTTGGGATAAGCCACTTGAGAATATTATAGTAGGGTAAAAAACAAAATTATTCACCTGAACTCTGACCATAACTATCTATGCTGCCAAACCCAGTACTTGGCAACCACCATCCATGCCTGTTACTGACTGCAATGAGTATGACTCCCTCATAGAAAAGGGCACCTTACAAGCAAATAACTATATAAATATAAGGTGATAATATTAGGATCACTCACTGATTTTTTTTCTTTTAAAAGTAAGGAAATCAATCTTCACCTCTTCTCTGGTCAAATTCTATTATAACGAGTTCTGAAGATAGTCCAAAAGATTCTGCCTTTTGGATTTTTACTGTCTGAAGAAGAAATTCAAATTTTTGGTCAATCTTTTTTCATGTTTGTATTTTCATTATAACAGCATTTGTGATCAAATTTCATTGAATCTTAAGCTAAATTTTCCACCCATACATTTTGTATATTTTCTGTAATGCAGCACTTTTACTAAGTCAGGTTGCATGTCCTTTTATATAAAATTTAAAAACATTTTCAACCCACAGTGTAACTATGCATTAACAGGGCCCAACACTTATTAAAACCACACAAAATTTTTTGTCATACTTATCTCTCACATCAGCAATTTTTGTTAATTTATCTAAAAGCCTTTATCTCTTTCAAACACACATACACACTTCTAAAGTTACTAACATACAACAGAGAAGACATGTTCCTCTAGTACAAATAAAGAACTTCCTCTGGTACAAATAAGAATATAAACAAGAAGAAGTGTTTCCATCCATGGTCATTCAATAAAGTAAACTATAATATAAAGCTGTCACTGATCAGCTAACCCAATTTAACAAAATGGATCTAAATAGTTAACCAATAGCTTAATGGAAGCCAATGAGCTTCATTAGAGAGTATTAACACATCACTGAGCCCAGAAAAATGGTATACACATTCACATGATTTTATACACACACACGCTCACATTCTGATGTCTCTATTGAGAAGTTCATTCACTTTAAAAAGCCTTGAGAAAAGCTTCTTAATAGCCCATTTCAAATTTCCTTTTACTTATTTTATAGGTGCTTCACTAATATGTGTAACTACTAATCACCAAACACAATTCCAAAGACAACCTGTTCAGGTTTAGCTGCTATTACCTAAAAAACACTTTCATCTTCACAGAAAAGGTATCTATACTAGGAAACCAAATAAAACTATCACTTATTAAAACAAATATGTTCAAAAGTATAGGAAATGTAAAAATACATGGAGTACCAGCCAGCTGCCAAAAAAGAAAAACATATGGAAATGTTTAAGAAAACAAAATAAGGTAGGTTTTAAACATAAACGGCAATATTTAGTATGAAAAATCCATTATTTACCCATTCTGACTATTTTTTTTGACAAAAATTGACAAAACTAAAAACAATGTTTAAGCCAAAACAGAGAACTTCCAATTAAATCCAATCAAAAATTCCAAACTTCTTGTTTCTATACCAAAATAGCCTAAATTTTCTCTCCAATCCCAGCCTCTTTACTCCTCCAGTTCATCCTTGTAGAACAAATTGATGGATCTTTCCAAAACATATATTTCAGTACAGTCTCTCTTGCTCAAAAAACCTCAATGCTACCCCCGACCAGACCCACTTAATGCTCAAATTCCTTAGCCTGGCTTAGTCAACCAAGGCTATCCACAATATGGCTCCAAGCCTCCTTTCTGGCTTCTCAGTATTCTCCTAGAGGAACATTCTCCAGTCATATTGTTTGACCCACTGACTTCAGAATACCTGTGTTTTCGTAATTAATAAAATATTTTCTTAAAATTAACACTGAAAAGCAAAGCAAAATTTTCTGAACAAATTTAAAAGTTGGTAGGAATGAAATGTATGCAAACCTTACATACTTAAAGAGGATAAGTTAATTGCAGTTATTACTTAAAATAACTGAGATAAAGAAAAGTTTTGGTAAAGAAACAAACCTACATCTTCTCTCAAGATTTTAATATATCCATACGGCAACGCTCCCAATTTTTGACTGAAAACTCTTGTGAAAGAACTTGGAGACAAGAGACTTGGAGACCCTGGATAGTTTCCAATCTGAACTCATTTAATAATATTTTATGGGCCGGCCCGGTGGCGCACTCGGTAGAGGGCGGCACTTGGGAGTGTGGCAGCGCTCCCGCCGAGGGTTCGGATCCCATATAGAGACCGGTCCGCTCACTGGTTGAGTACGGTGCGGGCACAACACCGAGGGTTGTGATCCCGTTGCCGGTCGCGGTACGGGCGCGACACTGAGGGTTGCAATCCCGTTACCGGTCATGAAAAAAGACAAAAAGGAAAAAAAAATAATATTTTATGATTCACCATTAGGGCCTAGTCTATTTCTAACCTATGTAGGTCAGTAAGTTGCCACTGCTTTCTAGGAAAAAGTACTTCCCTACTTCACCCCAGAAATTTTCAAAAAATTTTTTAAGTTGTTCTAAAAGAAAAATATCTTTATTTTCATAACCATAAATAATATATTTGCAAGTCTGGCTGTTATCAACACGTCTGAGCACTGAAGATATCCTCAAACAAAATTTTAACTTTCCCCCCAAATATTAAGCTAACTTAAACTAAACCACTGTATTAGAATTAACCAGAATGCAATAAAGACAGTTTCCCAAATCCTAAATCACTTTGCTAAGACATTTACTTTTTGTGGGAACAATGTCTGACATTTTATGAAATTAAAAAACCTTTTTAACAAAAAGGAAAACACCAACACTAAGACTTAGTTTAAATTTTTCAGAGGATAAAGAAAGTGTTTATGAACTTGGTACCTACAATAAATCAGTTATTTACTGGAGACACTGCCAATCACACAAAAAAACAGGGTGAAGCAGCATCTGAGATACCAGATCATCACTGCATAATATCTAAAGCCCTTGAACTAAGAGATCAGCAGCCTCTTAAACTACAACAGATATCAAAAGGGTTATCCCATGTATTTCATTAGTAGGTCTACAGCAAAGGTAGAAGAAAACAAAGACAAGAATCAAAAAGAATACAGAAGAAAGAAAGGTGTAGAGGGGTAAAGGGAAGGGTTAGAGATATGGACAGCAAGAAGGAAAGAGAACTAAATGTGTAAGACTAGAAAGAGGAGGGAGAAAAATAAACAAAAAAAGAGATGTTGGTGAGGTACAGAGAAGGCTATGCTTGCCTGGGGGACATTAGTCCCAAAGGTAACGTAGCACTGACACTAGAAAACTTCCAACTAGGAGTTGCCCAAGAAAACATTCTAAAAAAGATTAAAGAAAACCATCCTTCTTAACAAACCTCTTACTCTTGAGATACACTGCACCCAGAATCTAATCTTTTTTTCTTAATGTTCTCAAACTGTATTCTTTTAAAAACTGCAACCATGTAAATTATAAATTTTTAAGAGTTTTAGCTAGAATTTGAAAATGTCTAAACCTAAGTTTAAATTAACACTTGACTTATAATCCTCTCAAGTGAAGCATCAGTACTAAAACTTTTTTTTTTTTTTAAATAAAATAACTTCTGGTAATTCACGGTAACATTATAGAGGAGAAAAACCTAAAAACAAACAAACGACAACAACAAAAAACAAAAACAAAAGATAAAACTTCTCAAATGAAATATGTCCTAATCTGGATTCCTATGAAAGTCATGCAAGATACAGTAGATGGGGTCTAAAACAAGCATTTTATTTTTAAAAGGTACAGGACTAAAAGAATTGGTGAGGTGAGTGAGCCTGGAGCTAACGGAAATATAAATATCATTTCAAGGAGAGAAACTTTGTAAAAATTCAAAGTCAAGAAGAGTCAATGAAATGTCATTAAAGGCAAAAGAAATGAAAAATTAATTAATATTTTGCTTTTGCTTGGTCTCTCCAAAACAGAAGTGTATCCCTGATTGGTCCAGATATCCTCAGAAAGCGAGGATTCAGGGTCGAGGGGATATTAGTGAGAATTCTTTAAAGCTGTTTGAATCTCTGAAACCAGTACTATAGACTCCAATAATCTTTCCATGTTATAAGGAAGCTTGTGTGAGCTTACATTCTCTTCATAGTTTTTTTTTTTTTTTTTTTATACCATTCCTTTGATGGGAGGGCTCAATAAACAGTAACAAGCACTTAGTCCTTTTCCTTTTGACCTCAGAATATATTTTTATATCTCTTCACCAGGAAAAGGCATTTATCAAAACTGATCTACACCATGAAGGCTTTATCAGAAAGTATCTAACTATGTGGTAAATGCATAATTTAGCCAGCACAATTTCTGAATCATTCTCTCTCTATATTCTGAATAAGAGTTTGTCATTTAGAGGTTTGGTTCTTTGGATTTGCCTTTCTGTATGTTTTCTCTACTTGTTTATTTTCTCCTACTTTCCAACCATCTTATACTGCCACTGTCTTTCCACCCCCATCCTTTACTTTCCTCCTATATTTGTACAGACACACACACAAAAAGAATATCAGTACCATTATGTATGCATATATACACACATACATATATGTGTTTTATATATACACACACAAAGACACACATGGCAAAAGCCCCAATATTAGAGTATAAACCAAAGATGAAGACATAAATAACACTGCAGAATAGGAATAAATCCATTTATTTTAATTTCTAAGATAAAACAAAATTGTGGTTGTTTACTACAACTCACCAGACGGTTCTTCAGGCTCACTTTCATTTTCTTCCTCAGGTGGGGCTTGAGGGGGTGGTGGGGGAAGTTTCTTTTCCTTTTCTGCTTTAGCATTTCTCTCTTCTTCTGAGTAATACTCATCTTCTGAGAGGTTGGCCAAGCTTTCATCCATCTCTCTGTACTCTACCTATATGGAGATTATACCAGGGAAAGCTAAATACAGTGAACATCCAAAATCAGGGACTCTATTTGGAACCATCAGTAAATGTGAATTGCTTTTTAATTTCAAATTTCAAGGGAAATAAGCATATAACAAGAAACAAGTCAGCTTATATATAATTATTAAGAGTAAAACCCCTCATCTTGTGTCAGTTCAGGTTTAGCCCAATCTATAACATTTACATCATAGCACTGACATTCTGATCATTGACTCTGAGGCTCCTTACATCTCCTAAAATAATTTTTGTGAGTGTGTGTGTCTCATGTTCACATACTGGAAGTTTCAACAAAAGATTAAAATAATCCTTAACTAGACAAAAATAGTTAGCTAGAATATCAAGTCTGTCTAACACGAAGCCTGTGCTTTTAACTATGATTCCAAGAGAAAACAGCAAAAGAATTCCATGAAACCTAATGGGGAGTAGAAAAAAAGGTGCAAATAACAAAAGTTACAAAGAAGAGAGAACCAGAGGCCAGCCAGTTAGCTCAGTTGGTTAGAGCACAGCTTTATAACACCAAGTTAACAGGTACAGATCCCTGTATTGGCCAGCTGCCAAAAAAAAAAAAAACTTTTATGTACAATTCTTTGTACAGATAAATAAATGCTTTCATTTGGGGCGGCCAGTTGGCTCAGCTGGTTAGAGCACAGTATTATAACACCAAGGTCAAGGGTTTGGATCCCAGTACTGGCCAGCTGCCACAGGAAAAAAAAAAGAGAGACAGAGAGAGGGAGAACCAAGTCCTTAGTAGCCGAGGAAGAAGTCTTAGTGAATGTGTCATTGAGGGTAAAAGAGTATAGGACAGGGAAGATTATGGACTTGTTGGCCAAAATGTTTAAGATGGTATTACAAACAACTGTAAACATTGGAACACTGTAAAATTGTCATTATGACTTCCATCATAATAAAGATTCCAGGAAGCCACAGAAACTACAGCTAATTGTTATGAATTCAATGAAAAGATAAGTTATTAGATGTAGAGACAGAACAAAGACAACATGGCTTCCACATATACCTAATGTATTAAATTTCCAAAATGAACAGTCTTGTGGATTACAGTGAATGTAATCTATTTTAACTTTTTAAATGTCTTTGAAATACTTCCAGATGGCTGGCTGCTCTTTTGTTGTCTTCTTTTTTTAAATGACATGACCACAGGATTTGGAGAGTGGGGAAGTGGTTAAGAGAGGTAGAGGAGTTTTACTGAAAACAGGGATTGGATTAGAAATTGAAAACAAAAATTAAGAATAACTTGTCTAGTTCTGACCCATGCTCTCAGAATCTTAATATATGAATAACTGCATTCATCTACTCAAATACTGAACATTGAGTACATGGCACAACGGAGAGAACAATTACAAATGAGTATCCCCCTACCCTTATAATAAACTGAAAATCTATTTGCAAATAAATGAACCTGATCAGGCGACCATCTCACAGAGGGACTTTACAATAAAACCTCCAGAAATGTATATACTAAACTTTAACTTCATTAGCTAAAATAAACTGTAGTAATAGATCTCAGAACAATGGATAAAAAAGCATCAAGGAGGAAAAAAAAGTTTCAAAGGGGGAGAGGGGTGAGAAAATGTAATAAATGTTTATAGTATGCAGTTTTCTTTCTCTTTTTACCCCTCAACAGTGCTTGGCCCCTCCCTTCCCCTAAGGTTCAGTCCTTTGATCCCTTGCCCATCAATCCTACTCACTCAATAATCACTTAACAAGTACATAACATGGAACTGGGCAATGCAAAAATTGAGACACACACACAAAAAAATACGAAAATCCTTTCTACTGCAGTAGTTTAGCTTTTCCCAAAGGATGTTCCATTCAATACCATGCTCTTTGAAGGAAGAAGGGATCCAAGATCAAGTCTGGGAAACTGCATTCTTTATAGCCCCCCTCCAGGAGAGTCACAATGCACATTGAAGGTACTGATAAGTTTTACAGCAAAAAGAGTCTTTTTAACATTGTTTAATCCAATGTTTTGACAAACTTAGCATTATTAACAAGGAATACACTTTGAAAAAGCTGTTCTAGAAAGTTCTTAAGTCATCAGGAAAAAAGGAGATTAGAAAAATACCTAGATGGAACAAGAACATTTAAAGATAGTATTTAAAAACAAAACTGATCCACAGAACCCTAAGAGTCTTAAAGATTTCATTTATTATTTTAATTTAAAAAACTTTTTATTAAAACAAATAAATACACACATATGTGTTAAACCAAACCCTAATCCTTTAAAGACCATGAACACATTAACTCGCACTGCTTAATGTAACTCAATTTCGGGTAGACCTAAAAATGAACTTTTCTTCTGCCATCTCTGTTCAACTGAGAGTATCCTAAGATGTCAAGGCAAACTATAAAAAAAAAAAAAAAGTAAACAAAAGCAACCTTTTGCACTACTCAATTAGTAATGAATTGTCACAATATTTCATAAACAAAACAAAATACAGAAATAAATTTGGAGTCTAAGGCTGAAACAAGACTGCAACTATCATGCTTAACCTCCAATCTCAAATTTGATTTCACCAACAGCCTCATTTTCTCATAGACTAAAATAAATAAATTTAAACAAGACAAAATAGGCAAGCAGTATTTTATTTTGGGATTTTGCTTAAAATTTTATTCCATAAAAAGGGGCTTCCCTGGGCCGGCCCGGTGGCGCACTCGGTAGAGTGCGGCGCTTGGGAGTGCGGCGGCGCTCCTGCCGAGGGTTCAGATCCCATATAGAGACCGGTCCGCTCACTGGTTGAGCATGGTGCGGGCGCGACACCAAGGGTTGCGATCCCGTTGCTGGTCGAGGTACGGGCGTGACACTGAGGGTTGCAATCCCGTTACCGGTCACGAAAAAAGACAAAAAGGAAAAAAAAAAAAAAGGGCTTCCCCATTTAATAAAGTTCTAAAGTCATCTAAAAGAGTCATACAAACCAAAAAAATCTCTTCTTCCCATAAAAAAAAAGAATACGTACTCCGAATCCAAAGGATTGGGACTCATCCCTAAGTAGAATACCTCAAAGACTTCAGAGATTCCACAACTACTTACAACCAAGGACACAAAGATGTCCCAACAGGCATAATATGAGGGAGCAGGGTAATTATTCTTTCTTTTACACTGATAACTCTCAAACTTACATTTCTAGTCACTTCCTTCTCATCCCACTGGAACAGCCATAACCCACATCAACTACGTTGAAATGAAACAAGGGACCTGAGAATGAGTCAGATCACATTTTGAAAAGCAAAGGCAGGAAAATTACGAGATCCAGGCAGAACAGGACCAAACTGGTAGGAGAAATAAGTGTGGTGCTGCCCCTTGGGGGAAGAGACCTTTTTTTTTTTTTTTTTTTTTAATCTTTCTCCCTTTTAGTTCATTTAAGGCACAACTGCTAGGTTAACTTTCCTAAAAGATGACATTTTCAGATAATTTAACAGATGAACATCAAACTGTTCAAATAAGCATATAAATTCTCTGGCTGTAACTATTCAAGCTAATCTCTAATCACTTTTTAACACACTAGTCAAAAAGCTGTTCTACCTACCCCTAAACTCCTAAAAGCTACTCCCTCCTTTTTCTGTTAATCCAATACCTACAATTTAAGGCCCACTTTCTCTATAAATTATTTCCCAATTATTCTAAACTTCAGATATATCTTTCTTTTCTCTGAATTCTCATAGTACTTATGATATACATTTCATAGTCTAGTTCAATACTGTCTCATAGAACTTTTTGTGATAATGGGAATGTTCTGTATCTGTGCTTCTAGTACTGTGGCCACTGGCCACATATGGCTACTGAGCACTTAACAACATGGTGAGCGCAACTGAGAAAACAATTTTTTATTTTAACTTAAATAGCCACATCTGGCTACTGGCCACCATATTGGACAGCACAAATCTAATGCTCTTTACAGCCTGGACACGACTCTACAACCCAAACACCACTGATCCCTCCAATCTATTTTACTCCTAAACAAACCCCGCCTCCAATTAAATTCATTTGCTCACTGTTCTCAACATTCAGTTATCCACTCTGGATTCCGTGCTGCTTCTCAACTATATTCCAAGCATTTTTCACTTCCTTTTCTCCACTCGTAGTACTTAATTACTAGTCACCTACTTACTATAAATCAAACACCGCAATAAGTATTTTGTTTGTATTATGTCTAAATCTAATAACTTCACAAAGCAGGGTTTATTTACCTGAGGAAAATTAATCATAGGAAGATGAATTAACTTCAAAAAGTTCAACCTTTTCCAAAATACATTTCTAAATTCTGCCCTGTTTCAAGACCTAGCTCAAGGCTGCCATTCCTGAAACCGTGTTTTCCTGAAGTGCCAACCCAATTTGACAATTTCAAACCTTAAATATTTCTCCATAATTTTAATATACACACACCCAGGAGTCAATTTATTCTGAAACCAATGAAATTTAAACCTGAGGCATCCTCAATTGCTTCGACCCCCTTCCAATACCCTGAACCTAATTTTGATCATGTAATTATATAATTTTTTAAAAGAGGGTCCCCAAAATTGGATAAACTCCCATGCCATAAAACATAAGATAAATCCCCTGCATACACCACAGAACTCTTGAAGGAAACCCTGTCTATCCTGGCCTCGGCTTGCTTTTTACTCCTTAAGTGAACATTCTATCCTTTAAAGTCTATTTCCTCTGGCTAAGAATGGGAAAGTTTCCCCAGCTCCTTGCTTCCTAGTTGTTCCAAATAAACATACAATCCATTTTTCTTTTGAAATCAAGTTTAAGAGCTAATTACAATGGAAAAATTGGATAACAAGAAATAAACACAGGAGAATTTTAAAGACAAAAACCTTATAGCACATCCTAAACGGATCTACAGCTTCAACCCAACCCCAATCAGAATCCCAGATGAGTTTTTTTTTCTGGCTGAAATTGACAAGCTGATCCTAAAATTCATATGGAAATCCAAAGGTCATAGAATAGCCAAAACAATCTTGAAAAAGAAGAACAAAGTTGAAATCACACTTCCTGATTTCAAAACTTATTACAAAGGTACAGTAATCAGGATGTGTGGGATAGAAATACGGATCAATGGGACAGAATTGAGGGTCCAGAAATAAACCCTTAAATTTATGGCCAATCAACAAGGGTGCCAAACATTCAATGGGGGGAAGAACAATCTGCAACAAATTGTGCTGGGACAACTGGATATCTACATGCAAAAGAATGAAGTTGAATCCCTACCTCACACCATATTCAAAATTTAACTGCAAAAGGATAATACATGTATATGCAAGAGCTAAAACTATAAAACTCTCAGAAGAAAACACAGGTGTAAATCTTCATGACACTGGATTAGGCAATGGCTTCATAGATGTAACACCAGAAGCAAAAGGAACAAAAAAGATAAACTAAACCTTATCAAAATTAAAAACTTCTGGGAGGGCCGGCCCGGTGGCGCACTGCTGTGTGCACTGCTGTAGTGCACCGCTTGGGAAGCGTGGTGGCACTCCCGCCAAAGGTTCGGATCCCACATACAGACCGGCTGCTCACTGGCTGAGCGAGGGGCGGGAGCAACACCGAGGGTTGCGATCCCGTTGCCGGTCCCGGTCTGGTACGGGCGCGACACTGAGGGTTGCGATCCGTTGCCGGTCACGAAAAAAGACAAAAAGGGAAAAAAAAAAACAAAAAAAACTTCTGGGGCCGGCCCTGTGGCGCACTGCTACAGTGCACCGCTTGGGAAGTGCGGCGGCGCTCCCGCCGGGGGTTCGGATCCCACATACAGACCGGCCGCTCACTGGCTGAGCGAGGTGCGGGAGCAACACGGAGGTTTGCGATCCCGTTGCCGGTCCCAGTCCGGTACGGGCGCGACACTGAGGGTTGCGATCCGTTGCTGGTCAGTAAAAAAGACAAAAAGGAAAAACAAAATTAAAAACTTCTGTAGACAGAATATGAGAGTACTTCAAAAAGTTCATGGAAAAATAGAATTAAAAGATAATATGAATCTTTCCCTTGTATAAAGAACTCTTACTATAAAATAATAAAAAGACAACCCAATTTTTAAAAAATGAGCCAAGGGTTTCAGCAAAACATTTCACCAAAGATGACAAATGCCAATAAGCACAAGAAAAGATGCTAACATCATTAGTCATTGGGGGAAATGCATATCAAAACCACAATGAGATACCACTTCACACCCACTGGGATGGCTATAGTAAAAGATGGACAATACCAAAGGTATGGAGAAATTAGAACTCTAAAACATTGCTGGTGGGAATGTAAAATGGTGCAGCTGCTGTGAAAAACTGGCAGTTCCTCAAAAAGGTAAACATAGAATTACCATACGATCCAGCAATTCTACTCCTAGGCATATACCCAAGAGAACTGAAAACTGTTCACACAAAAAATTGTACGTTAACGTTCACAACAGCATTATGCATAATAGCCAAAAAGTGAAAACAATCCAAATGTCCATCAAATGATGAATGGATAAACAAAATGTGGTATATCCCTACAATGAAATGTTATTCAGCCATAAAGAGTTATAGATATAAGTACTACAATACGAACAAACCTTGAAAACATGCTAAAGCCAAATACAAAAGGCTACACATTATATGATTCCATATAAAATGTCCACAATATGCAAATCCATAGAGACAGGAAGTAAATTAGTAGTCACCAGGGGCGGGGGGTAGGGGAGAATGGGGAGTGATTGCTAACTCTACAGGTGTCTTTTGTGGATGATAAAAATGTTCTAAAATTGATTCTGGTGCTGGCTTGCACAACCTTGTGATTATGCTAAAAACCAAAAGTAAATTGTACACTTTAAAACAGTAAATTTTACCATATGTGAATTATATCAATAAATCTCTTTTTTTTTTTTTTTGGTCCTTTTTGAGACCAGCCACACCACGCTCAGCCAGTGAGCGCTGTGAGCGCACTGGTCATCCCTATATAGGATCCTCCGCGGGAGCGCTGCTGCGCTCCCAGCGCTGCACTCTCCCGAGTGCGCCACAGGCTAGGCCCTAAATCTATTTCTTAAAAAACCTTATCACATGGTTTCTGGCCACACTTTCTATTGAAATAGTAAAATAAAAACTCTATTAGCCTTCTGCCCTTTATTTCATTTCTGAGGTTTGGGATCACCAACCTCTGTGCTTTTCACACCCATGCTTCGGTAAAATCCCCAAAAGCCTTCCATCCAAAATGGCCTTTTACCCAGCACTGGGTATACTTTAGAGAGGTCTCTCAAGTGGGTAGCTAAATCTGAGGGTTTTCAGTCTGGGTGATACTCATATGAAGAAGTTCCTCATACACACTGAGTTGGTTGGTGTTCGCGCTGAAAAACTATATACAAATAACCTGTAATAAGCATAAATTACATATACTGCACAATTTTATTTAAGTATTATTATATGCAACTAGACCATAAAATCTCCAGAAAAGGCCCAAGTATAAAGTCTGTGCCCTAATACTGCCTCAGTGCCCTGCCTACTGTCTATGTGGTCCTTTGTTTCAGGAGCTGATGCTACCCCCTCACAACATAAGTGTGAAGCTTACGTTCCAGTTCCACCAGTTACTTAGCTGTCTGACTCTAGTCAAGTTGCTTAAACTGTGTGCTTCAGTTTACTCGTTCCTAAAATGGGGCTAATAATACCTGCCCGCTGGTGTTTAGCAAAAATAAAATGCTGGTGACACGCTGAACGCAGCATCTGGCACACAGAAATGTGAGGCAATTATCATCTGCATATACCGTTCGGCATCAAATCCCTTTCTTTCATATTTGCACCTTAGGTGACTGATACCCTCTTAATCAGCTTCCTCGTCTGTAAGAGTCTACGTCGAGAGGATAAAAGGAAAAAGACGAAAACTTCTAGATCACGAGGGCTCAAAAAAACAACAAACAAACCCCAAATTCCTTTCTTTTCCGTCTCCATGGCTAAGGCGATTTCTCTAGCATCATTCTACTGTCCCTGGTGCACCCAGCTGAAACCCATCAATATCGTTGACCAGCTTCCAGACACACCTGTGGACAAACAAGTGCTGTCTCCAACAACGCCTCCACGTCAGGGAGCCATTTTTTCCAGTCAAGGAAATGAAAAGGTGTGCCAGATGTGATGAGTAACATATACCCCTCCCATAAATCACCAATTCCCCCTTCTCCACGTCGGCCGGGTCCCGGCACAAAGACCATCCCTTCTCTCACCCCACCCGTCCAGCTAGCGGGGAGGTGGCGTGGACACCCATCCGATTGACTGGGAGGTCTGGGTGGTCGTGGGGCTCGAGGCACAAGGCCGTGGAGGGCGAGGATACGCGGGGCTGGACAGCCTCGGGGAAGCTAGGCCCTGCGCCCTGTCGTGTGAGGGAGTGGTCGGGCCTCACCTTGGCCCGCTTGCGCCGGCTGGTCCGTCGCCCCTCCGGAGTCTCTGCTATTCCCGTTTCCATGGGGGTCGCAGACCCAGGAACCACGGTAGGCCCAGCCTGAGGCCCGGCGGACCCCGGCGGCTCGGCCAGGCCCCCGGGGGGCGAGGCCCGCGGAGGCTCCTTCTTGCGGGGAGTGCGCTCCCCAGCCGCCCCCGGCCCGACCTCTGCTGGGCCTGACAAGCCCGCGGGCGGCGCAGCCCACTCCGAGCCGCTCCCCCCGCCGCCCCCCCCCCC